AGGAGGAGGCCCAATGGGGAAACTACCAACAACACGTGGCCCTCTCCGAACAGTCACAAAGCCATCACTATCCTGGTCTTGTCCCAGCTGCGGAGGACGGGCTGGGAGGCTAGGGCTGGGAGGCTAGGCTCGCTAGTTCTCCTCTGCCTTTCCCTAAAGCTGCGCTCCGCTGTCCCTGAGGATACGGCCTGGCTGTAGCTAATGCTAGCGCTAGCTCGAGACTCCAGTGCTCGGAGACGCAGCTCTAACTCACTGACCCTGGATTCCAGAGCTACGACTACACTACACTTCACACATCTATCACTACCCTCAGAGAAGGATCCAGGGTTTAGACTCGCCATATGGCAACTCGAGCAGTAAAGGATTGAGGGAGAGACAGCAGCCGCCATAGGAGTAGCGAGTTAGCGGCTAGGCTAGGCTAAGCTAGGCTAGGCTAAGCTAGTACGGATCCGGGCCCGCACAACAGACTCCGAGACCAGACAAACAACCGCTACCTAAACCTCAGCTACAGTACAGCTGACTCGGAGTGCTTACACAGTTAGCTTGGTGTACAATACGTGGATTTGTAATGTGTTTGTTAGAACAGAGAGCAGAGTGATAGCAGTCAAGAAACACGCTCACCGGATACAGGAAGTCACCGGATACAGGAAGTCACCGGATACAGGAAGTCACCGGATACAGGAAGTCACCGGATACAGGAAGTCACCGGATACAGGAAGTCACCGGATACAGGAAGTCACGTACACAGGGACAGCCTCCAATAAGATCAACTGGAGGCTGTGGTGGTCCACGGGCTTTACAACAACAGCCGTAAAGCCCGTGGAGACTGCTCTGTCAAAGGAACAATAAGTAAAGTAAAGATTAGTTAGTTATTTTGAGGCAGAGCAAATAAATAAAATGTGCACATGACCAAACATTGGGAGCAGAGGCTGTGATGAAGACTCAGATATTTGTCAGATTGTATTCATATTTATTTCAGACTCAAAATAAAAATGGTCCTTAAGAAAAAAAAAAAGGGAATAGAAAAAATAACAATGACTTTAAATGTTTAGAGTCAGTCTCAGCAGGTCTCTGGTCCAGTGGATCTGTCCAGTCTGAATCCTCCAGACTCTTCCAAGTCATGGATCTATGATAATAACTGGAGAGGGTGTTACAGCTTGGAGCTGAAGAACCATGTGCTCGGGGGATTCTGGTGGTACTGCAGACTGGACCAGACTAAACCAGACTAAATTCACGCTACACAGATATTTTCCAAAAGAACTTAATGTAAACTAAAACAGCTCGACCTCAGCTGACAGAGAACCTGACAGAGGACCTGACAGAGAACCTGACAGAAAACCTGACAGAGAATTCTGATTGGTCAGAGCGCGAGCCCCTCTGTGCACCTGCATGAGAGCCACACACATGTAGTAGTAATCTTTATTTATATACCGCCTTTTCACTGCAGATCTGAGTCTCAAAGCGGTTTACAATTGTTAATTTTTGGGCATTTGTCTCTCACTCCACACAGAGATGGGAGCGGGGTCAGAACTATTGGACATATTTTTAGTGGTAGGGGAAACCGGAGTGCCCGGAGGAAACCTATGCAGACACGGGGAGAACATGCAAACTCCACTCAGAAAGAAAGAAGAAGAAGAAACTTTATTTATATAGCACCTTTCACAGATAAAATCACAAAGTGCTTCACAGGGGCACAACAATAAAAGTTACAGAGCAATATTAAAACAAATTAATTAAAAAAATCACAGCCTTTTCAACTAAAAGCTCGTCCAAACAGCCATGTCTTCAGCTGTTTTTTAAAGGAATCGACAGTGTCGGTCACACGTAGCGAAAGAGGAAGGACATTCCACAGTTTAGGAGCAGCAACTTCAAAGGACCTGCTCAGAAAGGCCCTGGTCCAACCGGGATTTGAACCCAGGACCTTCTTGCTGAGAGGCGAGAGTGCTATCCACTCAGCCACCGTGCCCCCACATGTATTTGGCGCAAAGCATCATGGGAGCTCGTCCACTGCGCAGAACCAGGAGGACCAGACGATGCCCAAACACAGGCGAGTTCATCTTTCGCCGCCCGTGCCGACACAAAGCGCCACTGAGCACAAACCATTTGAATACGGCGCCGTCTTGGATCGCCGGGGCTTGCTCCAGACTCTCAGTAAGTGCTGATTTCTGCAGTATTCCACTTGGTTCGAGCAGACTGACTTAAGGATTCAACATCACATTTACTTCATGATCATGTCTCACAAACCCAGGGTCAGGTTTAAGGTTCTTCAGCAGAAAGTTTCAGATCGATCCAGGCTCAGACTCAGACTCATGGATTGATGTGGCGTTTACAGCAGAGGTTATCTGCTCGAGGCTGAAGTCACACTCGGTCTTCACAGCAGTAACCTAAGAACCAGAGAATAGATCTTTGGATAGAGTTAGAACCAAATCTAACTTATGGAAAGTTAATAGTTCAAGTGTGGGCTCAACCGCTCCAAGGTCTGGTCCTCGACGGTCTGCAAAGTTAGAACAAAACAGAAAAGCACTGCTGCTCTGTGGGACATGTTTGTGGAAGATCTCAAAGGTTCACATGAATTAGTTAAACAATAATAAACTCGGGTCAAAGTGACTCACCACCGCCAAGAAATGTAATCTGCCTCGTTGGTCATTTTTGGGTCTTGAGGATGAAGTAGGTTTTAATGGTAAATGTCTTTCAGCTGAACCCGGCGGATGTTAGGTTCCTTCAAAGGGCTCAAGGTTCAAGGTTCAAGGTATCTTCATCATCCTGAGAGGCAGCAGAAAGGTTACACATACAAAAGGAAACACAGATATACAGCAGAATTACAGTGATCTGAAAAACCAATGTAGAGGGATAAAAGAGTCCTTCAATCTGAGCTATACCTGCGGCCAGAGGAAGCATCGCAAACTCTTAATGGAAAGGAAGGTTTCTCCCCATCATCTGTACTTCTGAGCAGGTTTTCCCGACGTTTCGTTCTTCATCTAAAAGACTTTTTCAAGGGAATGAATTCTCAGACCACGCGTTGGAGATTTATAACCTAATCCTGATACTAACTCATAAACAATCTAAGGTCTGATGTAGCAGGGAGCAGGTCTAACGACCCTAACTCATTAGCATGTCACTGACCTATTGTTCAAGGGTTGGCGTCGCTGGCACCGCCCTAAGTTAGTTTAGGTCTTACCTTGAAGACAGGAAGTACTTTGTGGAGATTGGAAACTGTGTCTCAGATCATATGGCCCTGACCTGTGGAGTCCCACAGGGGTCGATCCTGGGACCTCTTCTGTTCAATCTCTACATGCTGCCGTTAGGTCAGTTAATACGCAGAAACAAAGTTTCCTATCATAACTATGCAGACGACACTCAGATCTATGTCTCACTGACTGCAGGAGAACATGGACCAGTGGACTCACTCCTTCACTGTATCCAACAGATCAGTGAGTGGATGCAAAACAACTTCCTTCAGCTAAACGCAGACAAAACTGAAATGATTGTCTTTGGTCCCCAGAAACAAAGAGAGAGCGTCATCTGTCACCTCCAGTCTCTCTCCCTAAAACCTTCAAACAAGGTCAGAAATCTAGGGGTAATACTGGACTCAGACTTAAATTTTAATAGCCACATCAAATCAGTAACATCAGCAGCTTTTTACCATCTAAAAAACATTGCCAGGATCAAAAACATAGTGTCTAAAGCAGACTTGGAGATTCTTATCCATGCATTTGTCTCCAGTAGGTTAGACTACTGCAATGGCCTGCTCACAGGTCTGTCCAAACAGGCTGTAAAACAGCTGCAGTACATTCAAAATGCAGCAGCTCCAGTCCTGACTAGAACCAGGAAGTACGACCATATTAGTCCTGACTAGAACCAGGAAGTACGACCATATTAGTCCTGACTAGAACCAGGAAGTACGACCACATTAGTCCTGACTAGAACCAGGAAGTACGACCACATTAGTCCTGACTAGAACCAGGAAGTACGACCACATTAGTCCTGACTAGAACCAGGAAGTACGACCACATTAGTCCTGACTAGAACCAGGAAGTACGACCACATTAGTCCTGACTAGAACCAGGAAGTACGACCACATTAGTCCTGACTAGAACCAGGAAGTACGTCCATATTAGTCCGGTCCTCAGGTCTCTGCACTGGCTTCCTGTGGCTCAGAGAATAGACTTTAAAACAGCTCTGCTTGTTACAAGTCTCTCCATGGCCTCGCACCAAAATATATTAGTGACATGTTAGTCCCCATATGAACCAGCCCGGACTCTGAGGAGCACAGGGACTGGACTCCTGCTGGGACTCTGAGGAGCACAGGGACTGGACTCCTGCTGGGACTCTGAGGAGCACAGGGACTGGACTCTGCTGGGACTCTGAGGAGCACAGGGACTGGCCTCCTGCTGGGACTCTGAGGAGCACAGGGACTGGACTCCTGCTGGGACTCTGAGGAGCACAGGGACTGGACTCCTGCTGGGGACTCTGAGGAGCACAGGGACTGGACTCCTGCTGGGACTCTGAGGAGCACAGGGACTGGACTCCTGCTGGGACTCTGAGGAGCACAGGGATCTGGACTCCTGCTGGGACTCTGAGGAGCACAGGGACTGGACTCCTGCTGGGACTCTGCTGGGAGAGGAGCACAGGGACTGGACTCCTGCTGGGACTCTGAGGAGCACAGGGCACAGGGGACTGGACTCCTGCTGGGACTCTGAGGAGCACAGGGACTGGCCTCCTGCTGGGACTCTGAGGAGCACAGGGACTGGCCTCCTGCTGGGACTCTCAGGAGCACAGGGACTGGACTCCTGCTGGGACTCTGAGGAGCACAGGGACTGGACTCCTGCTGGGACTCTGAGGAGCACAGGGACTGGACTCCTGCTGGGACTCTGAGGAGCACAGGGACTGGACTCCTGCTGGGACTCTGAGGAGCACAGGGACTGGAGATACTAAACCTGCTGCGGTAATTGCGGGATACATATCGTCCTGTTGTTGTGTGATCGGCATCCTCGCGGTCTATGGTTTATATACAGGGTTATTCGGTGAGGGGGTGCGGGGACGTATTACGGTGGGTGGTGTTGGGTTTATGGTTCTGTTGTATGGGGCGGTGATGTTGGGTGGTGGTGTTTGCGGGGAGGGGGATGATCGGGGTTTGGGACGGGGGGTTGTTGGGGAGTGTCATTTTTTACTGGCAGTGCCTGGCAGTGGGGTGGGAGTGGGGTCATGTATGGTGTGACGGTTCTGTCGAGTGGGGGGTGGAAGGGTGATGGGGTGCATGGGGTGCTGGGGGGCTCTCGCAGGGCGGGGGCTCTTGAGGTGGGTGGCGTGACTGGGACATTGGGGTACGGGTATGGGAGCCAGCGATGATTGTTTAGAGTGGGGTGTGGGGTGGCTGGTGGTGGTGGTGGTGGTGGTGGTGGTGGTGGTGGTGGTGGTGATGGTGGTGGTGGTGGAGGTGGTGGTGGTGGTGGTGTGGTGGAGTTGACTGGGGTTTTCGGACGGGGGGGGGAACCACATATATCTCATATCGAATGGGATAGTGTGGAGGTGGTGAGGATTGGGGGGTGGAGGGGGCAGGCTACGGGCTACATAGGAGGGAATCGGGACGGCTGGGTAGAGGAGCCGACAGGAAGATGACGCAACGCGCTAGAGGAAGCAAGAGAGAGGATGGAAGAGAAGCAGGAAGAACAGAGAAGCGGATGCAGAGCACGAGGATGAAAGAGAAGAGGAAGAAAGCGACAGCTGGAACGGCAACGCGCGAGGAAGAAAGAGAAGAGGATGACAGAGAAGAGGAAGAATCGAGAAGAGGACTGCAGGAGAAGAGGACTGAACGAGAGACGGAAGAAAGAGAAGAGGAAGCACGAGACAGAGGAAGAAAGCGACGACGGAAGACAGAGACGAGGCGATGACAGCAGAAGAGGAAGCAAGAGAAGAGGATGACGAGAAGAGGACGAGCAGAGGATGATCGAGACGAGAAGAGAAGAGGCACTAGCCGAGACAGAGCCGAGGCAAGCGAAGAGGATTACAGAGAAGAGGATGAAGAGAACGAGGATGAAAGCGAAGAGGAGAGGACATAGAAGAGGATGAAGAGCCGAGGCTGACGCAGAAGAGGAAGAAACGAGCAGCCAGGACTGAGGCAGCGAAGAGGGAGGACTATGAGCAGAGGCCGACAAGAGAAGAGGATTACGAGAAGAGGAAGAAAGAGCAGAGGAAGAAAGAGAAGAGGAGAACGCGACAATCGAGGAAGAAAGAGAAGAGGCTGAAGGGAAGAGCAAGAACCGAGAAGAGGAAGCAACGAGAAGAGGATGAGCGAAGAGGAAGAAAGCGAAGAGGAGAGAGAAGAGGAAGCAAGAGCGAGAGGATGAGAGAAGCGGAGAAACGAGAAGACGGCGAAGCAGAGCAGAGGAAGAAAGAGAAGAGGATGCAGAGAAGAGGAAGACAAGAGAAGAGGATGAAGAGAGCGAGGACACGAAAGAGACGGATGACCGCAGAAGAAAGAGCAGAGGACTGAAAGAGAAGAGGCACGCGAAGAGGAGTCAGCGAAGAGGAAGCAACGCGACGAGGCAGAAGAGCGAAGAGGACGACAGAGAAGAGGACGAAAGCGAACGAGGAAGAAAGATGAGAAAGAGAAGCGGAGACAAGTGAAGCGAGGTGCAAGAGCAGCAGGATGAAAGAGCAGAGGAAGAAAGAGACGAGGAAGACAGAGAGAGGATGAAAGAGAAGAGGCAGAAGAGCAGAGGAAGAAAGAGAAGAGGATGAAAGAGAAGGAGGAAGAAAGAGAAAAGAGGAAGAAACGAGAGAGGAAGAAGAGCAGGATGAAGAGCAGAGGCAAGAGGATGAAGAGAAGAGGAAGAAAGAGAAGAGGATGAAGAGAAGAGGGACGCAAGAGACGAGGACAGACACGAGCACGAGGACAGAAAGAGAAGAGGAAGAAAGCTGAAGAGGATGAACGAGCAGAGGAAGAAAGAGAAGAGGAAGAAAGAGACGAGGATGAAGGAGAAGAGGAAGACAAGAGAAGAGGACGAATAAGAGAAGCGGACTGAAAGGAAGAGGAAGAAGCAGAAGAGGAATGACGGAAGAGGAAGAAAGAGAAGAGGACTGAAAGAGAAGAGGAAGACAGAGACGCAGGACGAAGACGAGCGCGGAAGACCGCGACGAGGCAGAAAGAGACGAGGGATGAAGAGAAGCAGGAAGAAAGAGAAGAGGAAGAGACGAGGATGACGAGAAGAGGAAGAAAGAGAGAGAGGAAGAACGAGAAGAGGAAGACAAGAGAAGAGGATTGAAGAGACAGAGGAGAACAGAGACGCGGGTGCAGAGAAGAGGACGCAAGAGAAGAGGAAGAAACGACGTAGAGGCTGAAGCAGATGAGGAAGAACGAGAAGCGGAAGAAAGAGAAGAGGAAGAAAGAGAAGAGGAAGAAAGAGAAGAGGATGAAGAGAAGAGGACGAAAGAGAAGAGGATGCAGAGAAGAGGAAGCAAAGAGAAGCGGGAAGAACGAGAGGAGGACGAACGAGAAGAGGATGAAGAGAAGAGGAAAAGAGACGAGGATGAAAGCGCAGAGGATGAAGCGAAGAGGCTGCACGAGGCGAGGCAAGAAAGAGAAGAGGAGACCGAGAGAAGAGGAAAGAAAGAGAAGAGGAAGATCAGAGAAGCAGGAAGACGAAGACGGATGAAGAGAAGAGGATGAAGAGAGAAGAGGAAGAAAGACGAAGAGGATGAAGCGCCGAGGATGCAACGAGCAGAGGCGGAACAGCGACGAGGATGAGCGACAGAGGAAGACAGAGCCAGAGGACCGAACGAGAAGAGGATGAAGAGAAGAGGATGTGATACGAGAAGAGGAAGAACCGAGACAGAGGACGAAAGAGAAGACAGGAAGAAAGAGACGAGGCTGAAAGCGACAGAGGATGAAGCGAAGAGGATCAGAAGCGAAGAGGACGAATGGTAAGGAGGATGACGAGAAGAGGATGAAAGAGAAGAGGATGAAGCGAGAAGCGCACGCGGCGGCAAGACGACGCAGCGGCAGACAGACGAAGAGGATGAAGCGACGAGGATGAACGAGTCAGAGGTGCAGAGCAGACGGCATGTAAGAGAAGAGGAAGAAAGAGAAGAGGAAGAAGGAGAGGATGACAGCGAAGAGGCTGAAGACAGCAGAGGAAGAAAGCGAAGAGGAAGAACGAGACGAGGAACGAAAGAGAAAGAGGATGACTGAGAGAGGACAAGAGAAGCGGACATGCCAGAGCGAAGCGGATGACGAGCAGCGGATGGCAGACGAAGAGGAAGAAAGAGCAAGAGGCAGAAAGACGAAGAGGAAGACAGAGCAGCGGAGAAAGCGAAGAGGATGGAAGCGAAGCGGAACGCAAGAGCAGAGGATGACAGCGACAGAGGATGAAGAGACGAGGATGAAGAGAAGAGGAAGAACGAGAGCACGAGGACGCACGAGAAGAGGCATGACGCGACGAGGAAGCAAGCGAAGAGGAAGAACGAGAAGAGGAAGAACGAGCAGAGGAAGCACAGCGAAGAGGATGAAGAGACGCGGATGACGAGCAAGAGGATGAAGAGAAGAGGATGAAGAGGAGAGGATGAGAGAAGAGGCACGAAAGAGACGAGCGATGAACGAGCACGCGGCTGACAGCGAAGAGGATGAGAGCAAGAGGATGAAGCGAAGAGGCAAGAGACAGAGGAAGAAGAGAAGAGGATGAAGAGAAGAGGATGACAAGCGAAGAGGAACGAAGAGACGAGGATGAAGAGACAGAGGAAGCAAGAGAAGAGGCAGAACGAGAAGAGGATGCAAGAGACAGACGGAAGAACGAGTAGCAGCGGGAAGAAAGCGAACGAGGATGAAAGGAAGCGGATGAAAGAGAAGAGGATGAAGAGACAGAGGAAGAAAGAGAAGAGGATGACAGAGAAGAGGACGCAAGCGAAGAGGAAGAAAGAGAAGAGGATTAGAGCCGCACAGCAGAACCGAGAAGAGGACTTAACGAGAAGAAGGATAGAAGAGAAGAGGATGAAGAGATGAGGAAGAAAGACGAAGAGGATGAAGAGAACGAGGATGACAGAGAAAGAGGAAGCAAGCGAAGAGGATGAAGAGACGAGGAAGGAGAAGCGACGCACAGCGGAGACGAAGAGATACGCGGATTAAGCGCACAGATGAAGAACGAGAACGAGGCAGACTGAGAGCAGGAAGAGGAAGAACGAGAAGAGGAAGACAGAGACGAGGATGAAGATACGAGGAGGAAAGAAAGAGAAGACGGAAGAAAGAGACGAGGTATGAAGCGACGACGGTAGAAAGACGAAGAGGATGAAGAGAAGAGGGATGAAAGAGAGCGGATGAAGATGACGAGGACGAACAGAGAAAGCAGGATGACCAGAGACGAGGAAGAGAAGAGATAGGAAGAATGCAGGCACAGACGGAACGAAAGACGACAGAGGATGACAGAGAAGAGGAAGAAAGAGAAGAGGATGAAGCGCAAGAGGAATGAAAGAGAAGAGGAAGCAAGAGAAGCGAGGACAGAACAGAGAAGAGGAACGAAACGAAGACCAGACGGACAGAACACGATGAAGAGGATGAAGAGGAAGAGGAAGCAAGAGAAGAGGATGAAAGAGAAGAGGAAGAAAGGAAGAGGATGAACGAGAAGAGGCTGAAAGAGACGAGGAAGAAAGAGCGCAGGGAAGAAAGAGAAAGAGGAAGACAGAGGAAGAGGATGAAAGAGAAGAGGAGCACCGACAAGACGAACGAGGCACTACGAGCAGCAGGACGAAAGAGACAGAGCGATGAAGAGAAGAGGAAGAAAGAGAAGAGGAAGAAAGCGAAGAGGAAGCACAGAGAAGGGAGAGCCAGAGACGCAGAGGCTGAAGAGAAGAGGAAGCAAGTGCAGCAGGAAGACAGAGCAAGAGGCTGAAGAGAAGAGGACGAAAGAGAAAGAGGACAGACAAGGAAGAGGAGAACGCGCAGAGGAAGAAAGCGACGAGGATGAAGAGAAGAGGGAGCAGAACGAGAAGAGGTGAAGAGACAGAGGCAGAAGAGAGAGGACATAGCGAAGAGGATGAAGAGACGAGGAAGCAAGAGAAGAGGCTGACGAGAAGCGGAAGAACAGAGACAGAGGAAGAAGAGCAGAGGACGAGCAAGAGCAGCGGAAGAGAGAACAGGCAGAATAGACAGAGACGGACGAGGAGAGAGGATAGACAGCGCACGAGGAGAAGAGAAGAGGACGAACGCGACGCGGAAGACCGCGGAGGATGACGCGACGAGGCAGAACGAGAAGGAGGAAGAAAGAGAAGAGGAAGAAGAGACGAGGACGCACGAGACGAGGACAGAACGAGCAGGATCGAGCCGAGGCAGAAAGAGAAGAGGAAGCACGAGACAGAGGAGGAAAGAGAAGGCGGAATGAAGAGAAGAGGAAGAAAGAGAAGACGGATGAACGCGAAGACGAGAAGAAGAGAAGCGGATGAAGAGAAGAGGAAGAAAGAGAGAGGAAGAACGAGAGCGGAGAAGCGAGACGATGACGACAGAAAGAGAAGAGGACGAAAGCAAGAGGATGCAACGAGCACGAGGAAGAAGAGAAGAGGATGAACGAGAAGCGGATGGAAGAGAAGAGGCTGAAGAGAAGAGGATGAAGAGAAGAGGAAGAAAGAGAAGAGGATGAAAGACGCAGAGGATGAAGAGAAGAGGATGAAGAGAGAAGAGGAAAGAAGAGCAGAGGACAGAAAGAGAAGAGAGGAAGAAGAGAAGAGGATGACAGCGACGAGGATGAACGCGCACGAGGACGAAAGAGAAGAGGATGAAGAGAAGAGGGCAGCAAAGGACGAGGATGACGAGAAGAGGATGAACGAGACAGAGGCGAGGAAGCGAGAAGAGGCTGAAGTGAAGAGAGCAATGCAAGAGCAGAGGACGACGAGGCGCGGATGCTGACGAGAGTAAGACAGAGTAGAAGGAAGAAGCGAAGAGGATGAAGAGAAGAGGATGAAGAGTCGCGGCGCAACAGAGACGCAAGGACAGACAGAGTGAAGAGGGAGCAAGCGAAGACGGATGAGAGCTAGAGGATGAAAGCAGACGAGGATGCAAGGCGAAGAGGCCGAAAGCGAAGCGGATGACGAGACAGCTGGATGACACAGAGAAGGCGGATGAGAGAAAGCGGCTGCCGCTAAGCAGGACGGCCGAGAGACGAGAGGCAGACCGAGTGACGAGGATGACGAGAAGCAGGATGAACGAGAAGAGGATGCACGAGCAGAGGGCTGAAGCGAAGAGGAAGCAAAGAGACGAGGACGACGAGAGAGAGCGATGACCGAGATAGAGGATGAAGCGGCAGAGGAGAACGAGCATCGAGCGAAGACGGAAGCGACACGACGAAGACGGAGAGCCAGCGAAGATGATTGACAGCGAACGAGGGAAAAGAGCAAGCAGGCTGAAAGCGAAGAGGATGAAGCGAAGACGGCTGCTCGCGCAGCAGGCGCCAGAGAAGCGGACGAAACGAAGCGGACGAAAGCGCCGGGACGAAAGAGCCGCGGATGCAAGATAGAGGAGACAAGAGACGAAGGCTGACCACGCGCAGACGGATGCCGGAGCGCATTAAGAGCTCGAGGCCGAAAGCGCCAGCGGCAGACCAGCGAAGCGGACATGGCAGAGTAATAGGAAGAAAGAGAAGAGGGCCGACCGGCAGCGTCCGCACGCGAAGCGGAAAAAAGAGCCGAGGACTGCCGCGCACGAGGGCTAGCCCGAGAAGAGGATGAAGAGCCGCGGCTGCAGCGCGCAGGGTGACGCGCACGACGGACGAAAGAGCATAGGACATTCCGGAGAAGTCTGGCTGACAGCGAGCGGCTGCCGCGCAGCTCGGCCTGCAAGAGAAGAGGAAAGACCGAGCAGCGGAAGACAGAGAAGCGGATTCAGCGAATAGGATGAACGCTCATAGGCCTCCCTCTCCTATGCTTCTTCCTCCTATCCTCTTCCTCCTCTCCTTCTTCTTCCTCTCCTCTTTCTAGTCTCGTATTCCTCCCTATCCTGTATGAGTCGAATGCTTAGTCCCTTCATCTTCCTCTTCATCCCTTCTGTTCGATCCTCTCCACTTCCTCCTTCTCGTCAACCGAACCCTTCCTCTGTCATCTCTCCGTCATGCACCGTCACCTCTACTCCTCCTCTCCTCTCCTCTTCCTCCCTCCTTCTCTTCCTCCTCCTCTCTCCTCCCTCTCCTCTCTCCTCCCTCTCTCTCTCCCTCTCTCTTCCCTCTCTCTCCCTCCCTCTCTCTCTCTCCCCCTCTCTCTCTCCTCCCCTCTCTCTCTCTCCTCTCCTCCCTCCTCTCTCTCTCCCTCTCCTCTTCCTCCTCTCTCTCTCCTCCTCTCTCTCCTCCCCTCCTCTTCTCTCTCCTCTCTCTCCTCTCCTCTTCTCCCCTCTCTCTCTCCTCCCTTCTCTCTCTCCTCCTCTCAACTCTCCCTCCCCCCCTCTCCTCTTCCTCCCTCTCCTCTTCCTCCCCCTCTTCTCTCCCTCTCCTCTCCACTCCTCTCTCTCTCATCCCTCCTCCTCTTCTCCCTCTCTCATCCTCCTCTCCTCTTCCCTCCTCTCCCTCCCTCTCTCCCTCCTCTCTCCTCCTCCCTCTCTCTTCCTCCCTCTCTCTTCTCCTCTCTCTTCCTCCTCTCCTCTCTCCTCTCCTCTCTCTCTCCTCTCCTCTCTCTCCTCCTCTCTCTCCTCTCTCTCCTCTCCTCTCTCTCTCCTCTCCTCTCTCTCCCTCCTCTCTCCCCTCTCCTCTCTCCTCTCTCTCTCCCTCTCTCTCCTCTCTCTCCCTCTCTCCTCTCCTCTCCTCCTCTCCTCTCTCCCCTCTCTCCTCTCTCCCTCTCCTCTCCCTCTCTCTCCTCCTCTCTCCTCTCTCCTCCTCTCTCCCTCTCTCCTCTCTCCTCTCCCCTCTCTCTCTCCTCTCCTCTCTTCCTCCTCCTCTCCTCTTCATCCCTCTCCTCTTCTCCCTCTCCTTCATCCTCATCCTCTCCTCTCCTCTCCTCCCTCTCCTCTTCCCTCTCTCCTCTTCATCCTCTCCTCTCCTCCTCTCCTTCTCATCCTCCCGTCCTCTCCTCTCATCCTCCTCTCTCCTCTCCTCCCTCTCCTCTTCATACCTCTCCTCTTCATCCTCTCCTCTTCCTCATCCTCTCCTCCCTCTCCTCTTCCTCCCTCCTCTCCTCTTCATCCTCTCCTCTTCCTCCCTCTCCTCTTCATCCCTCTTCTTCCTCCCTCTCCTCTCTCCTCCCTCTCCTCTTCATCCTCTCTCCTCTTCCTCCCTCTCCTCTTCATCCTCTCCTCTTCCTCCCTCTCCTCTTCCCTCTCCTCTTCCTCCTCTCCTCTTCCTCCTCTCTCCTCTTCCTCCCTCCCTCTCCTCCTCTCTCCTCTCCTCTCCTCTCTCCTCTTCTCCTCTCCTCTTCATCTCCTCCTCTTCCTCTCCTCTTCCTCCTCTCCCTCTCCTCCTCTCCTCTCCTCCCTCTCCTCTTCATCCCTCTCCTCTTCATCCTCTCCTCTTCCTCCCTCTCCTCTTCTCCTCTCCTCTCCCCTCTCCTCTCCTCCTCCCCTCTCCTCTTCCTCCTCTCCTCCTCATTCCTCCTCTCTCCTCTCCTCCTCTCCTCTTCATCCTCTCCTCTTCATCCTCTCTCTCTTCCTCCCTCTCCTCTTCATCCTCTCCTCTTCATCCTCTCCTCTTCTTCTCCCTCTCCTCTTCATCCTCTCTCCTCTTCATCCCTCTCCTCTTCATCCTCTCCTCTTCATCCTCTCCTCTTCCTCCCTCTCCTCTTCCTCCCTCTCCTCTTCCTCCCTCTCCTCTTCATCCTCTCCTCTTCATCCTACTCCTCCTTCATCCCTCTCCTCTTCATCCCTCTCCTCTTCCTCCCCTCTCCTCTTCCTCCCATCTCCCTCTTCATCTCCTCTCCTCCCTCCCTCCCTCTCCTCTTCCTCTTCCTCCTCTCCTCTTCCTCCCTCTCCTCTTCCTCCCTCTCCTCTTCCTCCCTCTCCTCTTCCTCCCTCTCCTCTTCCTCCCTCTCCTCTTCATCCTCTCCTCTCCTCCTTCCTCCCTCTCCTCTTCCTCCCTCTCCTCTTCCTCCCTCCTCCTCTTCACCTCCCTCTCCTCTTCCTCTCCCTCCTCGTCCTCTTCCTCCCTCTCCTCTTCCTCCCTCTCCTCTCTCTCCCTCTCTCTTCCTCCCTCACCTCTTCTCTCCTCTCCTCTCCTCTTCTTCCTCCCTCTCCTCTTCCTCCCTCTCCTCTTCCTCCTCTCCTCTTCTCCCTCTCCTCTCCTCCCTCTCCTCTTCCTCCCTCTCCTCTTCCTCCCTCTCCTCTTCATCCTCCCTCTCCTCTTCATCCCTCTCCTCCTCTCCTCCTCCCTCTCCTCTTCATCCTCTCCTCTTCCTCCTCCCTCTTCCTCCTCTCCTCTTCCTCCTCTCCCTCTCCTCTTCCTCCCTCTCCTCTTCCTCCCTCTCCCTCTTCATCCTCTCCTCTTCCTCCCTCTCCTCTTCCTCCCTCTCCTCTTCATCCCTCTCCTCTTCCTCCCTCTCCTCTTCCTCCCTCTCCTCTTCACCCTCTCCTCTTCCTCCCTCTCCTCTTCCTCCTCTCCTCTTCCTCCCTCTCCTCTCTCCCTCTCCTCTTCCTCCCTCCCTCTCCCTCCCTCTCCTCTCATCCCTCTCCTCTTCCTCCCTCTCCTCTTCATCCTCTCCTCTTCCTCCCTCCATCCTCTTCATCCTCTCCTCTTCCTCCCTCCTCTTCCTCCCTCTCCTCTTCATCCTCTCCTCTTCATCCTCTCCTCTTCATCCTCTCCTCTCCTCCCTCTCCTCTTCCTCCTCTCCTCTTCATCCTCTCCTCTCCTCCCTCCCTCTTCATCCTCTCCTCTTCCTCCCTCTCCTCTTCCTCCCTCTCCTCTTCATCCCTCTCCTCTTCCTCCCTCTCCTCTTCCCTCCTCTCCTCTTCCTCCTCTTCCTCCCTCTCCTCTTCCTCCTCTCCTCTTCCTCCCTCTCCTCTTCATCCTCTCCTCTTCCTCCCTCTCCTCTTCATCCTCTCCTCTTCCTCCCTCTCCTCTTCATCCTCTCCTCTTCCTCCCTCTCATCCTCTCCTCTTCCTCCTCTCCTCTTCCTCCCTCTC